TGTCTTATTTTAAGGAACTGCCACCATTACCCCACTCTTCAGCAAGCCCCATCCTGATCAGTGAGCAACCGTAATCATCAAGGCAAAGACCTTTTCCCAGCAAAAAGACTGGGACAGGCTGAAGTCTCAGATAATCATTAGCAGCTTTTAGCCGTAAAGTATATTAACAAAGGCACATACATTGTTGTTTATACAAAATTTGTATTGCACAATTCCATTCAGTGTAAATATGCACTCCAAAACCAAAACATTGATGCAACTCATTTTTTTGTAGTATTCGCTTTATTGCAATACTCTGGAACCAAGCATACAATATCTCCAAGGTATACTTGTCATTGAATTTAGAGGAATAAAGGTGGACTTCAAAAAAGAGGCAATTTTTCTTGGGTGTTCACACTCACAGACACAAAAGTTGTAGGCGGAACTACACAAGCGATGTTATAAAGTCACCTACATGTGACAGAGTGAAGCTTTTAAGCTAGGTGGTGGTATTTATTTTATTATTTTTCACATACATAATACTCACTGGGAAAAGTGGATTAGTCTGTTCCTATTCACAATTTTCAATCTACTAAACTTCAAGTGATCTTGGCAAAGTCACAATGATGGGTGATTTAGTTCACCCAGTATCTTGCATGGCTATTCCAAAAGTATTTTCAAACATTCTTAAATGCACTGCCTACACTTTCACAAAGCCCTCTTCATTTCCATTTCCACTGTTAGACAGAGGCCATTATGTGGCCTTTCCCTCTATAGGATTTCATTCTCCCATAGGCAGTTCTCAGATGGGAAGATGTTTCTCCTTCTTTTCTAATGAGTCTCCTCACTCCCTCTACTGTTAATACTGTTCCTCAGTGCCTCAAAGTACCTGCTCCATGAGGGGCCTTTTTGATTCTCTTTGTGGTCTCCTTTCTTCTAAAGTCCTTTTGCTTAGTGTGAAAATTCTTACGTACCTCTCACTCTAAAAACCATCACTACCCTTATTCTTTTCCCTCTAGTTCCCGCTTTATTTCTTTCCATTCTCCATCTTCTTGAAAGCAAAATTTAAACTTAGGTTTCTCAAACTTCAATGTCTGTAAATCACTTGAGTATCTTGTTAAAATATATTCAGTAGTCTGGGTTGGGATCCAGGTTCATAGCCTATTCTGCAATCTTACAAATCAGTCTAACTACCAAAGGTTTGCAGGTTCTTCTTGTGTTTCTCCCTTTCCTTTATTCATAACTCTTGTGACACTAATTCCTGCATTTCTAATGCTGCTCTCAAAAATCACCAATGGCTTCTTGGATGACCAATCTGATGGACACATTGCAACTATAATGCTTCCAGCTGCCTGTGGAAATTTATATGTCCCTAATTCTTGATGCAATGTACTTACCTACTTCTATGGTTCCATTCTTTCCTTGTCTTGCTAGTCATTTCTCACCTCCCGTTTCAATACTTTCTGTTTACCTACTCATTAGAATTTTTATATTCTATGGAGTTTTTCACTGAGATCTACTATACTCTGTATTTTCTTATGAGAATACAAAAGATGTGATGATTTATTTAATATTTGCGTTTACTAGGAATACCTTTATTATGCTCTTTATCCTAACCTCAGTGGCTGAGATTCAGTAAATAATTGATATAGTCATTACTATAAGAATGTGGTGAAAATACTGACTTTGCCTTTGAATAATTCACTTCTGTTAAGAGAGAAAAATTAACCCTGAAGTAAGTCTTCAGTGGAACTTGAAATTCTAAAGCTGCCCAGATTTGTGTGTGTTATAAATCTTCTTGCAATAAAATAAAAACAACAGTATACATGTAGAAATGAATAATTAACATTCCATACTGCATTTCATGCATAAGTATGCATTGCATTACAGCATTTTGACCAGTGATGGACCATGTATCCAACAGTAACATAATAAGATTATATTATCTAGTGGTGTCATAGTTTGCATAAGCCTGTCTACACAATGATAGAATTGTCTAGTAACACATTTCTCAGAACAAGCCTCTGTCATTTAGTAATATGTGACTATATTTACAAAGATTTAAAATTTAAAAAAACATATGTATTTCCCTTAATTTGCACAATATATGTTCCAGAAAAATTGGGAATAAAATAAATTTATGAGATAACTAAAATTTTAAATTTGGACACATTTTTCTAGAGGAGAAGGGGCTAAGTTTAATGTCTAAAAATAAATAACTTAAGACTGTGGTCAAATCTGAGTGTTGGATTTTGTACAGATAGAAGTTTCTTAGTCTTTCAGAGAATTCAATTCTATTGATGAAATTACAATAATTTTCCTTTACTGTGGAGAATTTAAAAAATAAGTAAGAGCAATCTCTTATAAAACTGGGATTATAAAATAATACTCAAGCAAAATATGTTAAGACCTGTAGGAAAGTTGTGCATATAGGTGGAGGGTTAGTGGAGCTGATACTTTGATACTTTGATATCATCCTAGAGGACTGAACTGAAGAGAACATTCTTCTCGACAGTGTTTTTAAAACCTTAGGATACATAAAAATCATCTGGTGTGGGTGGTGGGAGTGGTATAGGGGTTGTAGTATTCTGTATTAGCAGTTAGTCATTGCTACAATAATGATGTTTAACAAGTCTCTAAGACATAGTGGCTTAACAAAAGAACTTAATGTTTTTTTTCTCATGATTTTGCATTTTAGCTGAGGAGTTCTGCTGATCTGAGATGAGCTCAGTTGATCTCAGCTGCGATGACTCATGTCAGAAATTATCTACAAGTCATCTGGGGGCTAGCTGGTCTAGGGTGGTCACAACTGATAAACTTGGTCTTATTCCATGTGGTCTCTAAACCCCTATTACTTTGGTCAGAGAGGAACAGGAAAAACAGCACCTTTTCCAATCATCAAGGTAGAAATTAATGAAGTTTGAATCAATGTGGGGGCAATGAGGGCAGAATCAAAAGCCAAGATAGGAAACTCTTACAGTGACTAATCGATAACACTGCTGATAGCAAGTGAGGCGTTGTGGGTGAGTTGTATTTCCTATATGCTCTTTCCCTTTTCCCCTTTCATCATCTTCAGATATTTAACACACATCCTCTTATTCCACGTTCAGAGTTCCAGGACTTATCGTCAATTATCACATGATAATACAACATTTAATAACTGTGAAAACAAATAATCAAATAGTGAGGTTCTGGAACTCACACCTACCACTTTGGTCTACCATTTAATGGAGCTAAGCTTTTTTTTTTTTAAATCCCATCTTAGATTGAAAGTTTTTCAAAGACTGAGGCTTTAATTCATTTGATAATTTTTTCAGTGATTCCACATGCTCATAGGTCTGAAATTTAGTTTGTAAAATTCATTTGTAAAATGAGAAAAAGTTGTACATTATTTTAAAATTTATTTAAATCAAACAATGCTGTGATCAGCATGAAGAAATTTGCATGGAAACCATGTGAATTTTATTGCGATAAAAAATTTAAAGACAAAATTCTAATACTTAACATTGTATCCTGAAATAATTAAATACAAAGGATATACTCGTTAAGTTGCTACAAACATGTAGGCATTACACAATGCACATAATGGAGTCATAAGACATTTTATACTGCTTTATTATAAATAACTGGAAACATTCCATTTTTCAAACCCAGATAACAAAACAGTAAATATCATGCTTTTTCTTATTATTTCATTTTAGCTTTTTAATGTCGATTGGGAAGTAGTATTCCTTATCCAAAGACTGGCTTAAAAAATGGTGGGAACACACACACACACACACACACACACATACACACAAACCCACTTTTTTTCTTTCACTTAATTGAAAGCAATCAAGAATGCTTTTAGCAGAGTCCTAATGGTACTAAGAAGGAGCCATTAACAGTAGGAAACTGTGTAATACTTGAAAATACCGCTCATAAGGCAAAAGGGGCTGTATGCAGACACATGAATATAAAAGAGGCTGGACGGTAAACACTAAAAAACATTTTCTTAAAAACATGAATAGCCTTATTCTCCCAAATGCAGAAAAGCCATTAAGGCATAATGGATCAAGTCATGAGGTCTGAAATTTTGGTATTATTGCCTTGAAGAAAAGCTTTCCCTTTTCTCAGAAAGGACACTTAATATCTATTTCAATTTTCTCATTTCATAAGAATTCATGTTTTGATAATAAAAAAAAAACCCTCCTCTTTATTGTAACCTTGAACACTTACAGGCAGAGAGCACTTCTTGAAAAAATACTGCAGTGACTTAAAGTTGCCACAAAATCTGTGCCCAAAAATTCACTTACAATAGATTATCCCATAGGAATATTTTAATTAAGAGATTTATAGCAGTTAGCAGTAAGAATTTTCTTAATCAGATGACTAATTTTTCTGCATTATTCTCTTATATATAATATAGGTTTGCCAAATTTCTTCACTAATATTAATTTTCAATAGTAGAAATTGCCTAAAGAAACAGAGCCTGGAGAGAAAAACATGAGTAACATATTTAATCAAGTAATATAGTAGCTGTCTTTGAACACTTGTATTTATATGCATCAGTTAAGGACCATGTTGCATATTCCAGATTAAACAGCTATTAGGTTTAACATGGATAGGTATAAACAAGCTATGTACAATGGTATTTATAATTGTTCTTTCAATTTTTTGTAGAATTTAAAGTGTTTATTTTGTAGAAACTAGGACAGGGTGAACTAGCAAACTTCAATTAATTAGCAAAAGTTAAATTTGTATGAAATAACGTTGAAGAATTGAAAATCTAAAAACATTTTTAAGGTAATGAAGTCACACAAATGCATACACATGCAAGAAGACTTTATATAATGAGCTACTCCAGTTTATGTGGTTTTACTCCAATGTAACACACTCCAAATACTGCTTTCCTGTATAATACCAAAGGAAATACGAAATGCATGTATATTATTTTAAGAACTTGGTGACACAAGTCCACATTCTTTACATTTTACTTTCAGGCTATAAATGTATTTGTATTTTAGTCAGTTTTTAAAGTAAATGAAAACTGTAGCATTAGAGAGGAACTTTTTACCTGTTGTGTGCATACTTCATTATGTCTTATTTTTTCTGAAAACTGTATCAAAAAACATCACACAGCATTGGAGCACATTTCTGTTTCACACTATTATTTGCCATACACTACAATGTATTTTGGCTTACAAAAATGGAATCTACACTTGAAGGGGGTTAAATGAAATCGATTGGGAAGTATGATACTGGACGTGGGCTTCCAAAGTCCATTAACTTTGAACCAACTCAGATGGCAATGCTGTTCTTTTTAAACTTTTATCAAAATTGTTCAACAGCATAAACTTTTGTGTTAGTAGGTTTGCATAGAGGTAACACCATTTCATTGGTGTCATACATCTTCTCCAAAGGGTTATGGCAGGCCCGTTTGTATTTATGTATATTTTTAAATTCTTTATTCTTTCTTTTTACATGAATAAGCCATAAATTGTCTGGCTGTTGTAGTTCCAAAAAGTACAATCCAGTAGTAGCTTGAAGCACAGTAAGCTGAGCAGTTTCTTCCCTTTCTAAGCATGACAACGAGTGGCATTCTCTATAGTCGAGCCATGTGCATGCAGTGACCCAAGTAGAGACTTTTGCAAACTCAAAAGGCTCCAAATCCACAGTCGAGAACCTTGCTGACATCATATAACTACCACTTGTTGCTAGAAGGGAGACAGTATGGTTTATTTCAGAAGTTTTTGAACAGTTTCTCATCTGGCAGCTTCTCCAGATTTCTTGGTTGCTCTCATAATTACTTCTAACGTTGTGCTTTCAAAAGTCCAAAGGTCGAATCATCATAGTTGTGGAACGTAAGGAATAACTGGGCCCTTTGAAATAGTGCCACTTTATCCCATTCAATTTCCCGTGATTTTGTCCCGCAGTATAGAACATTCCATTGAGATTGGAGGGGCCACAAGCATCAAACCACCAGCCTGAAAAATTAGTTAATAATGAAAGAGAGAAGTAGAAGAAACAATTACCAGTCAATTGAACATTTGAAGATTTTCTGATATAAACTATTGGGGACTTGTTCATACTTGTGCTAATTTACAAACAGGAGCATTCATTAAGTATGTTCCCAGTAGTGGAACTGTTCCAAACGACATTGATTTAGGATGTGTATGAGCAATCAAAGAGAGGGAAGCTCTCATGAAAATCATCTTTCTGTGTGACTCCATTGGGACTCACTTCTCACTGTAATTATGGGAATCTTCTAGGCTTTAAGATACAATCTAAGTCAGGCCTGGATTTAAAGGTAGGACAAGGAAAATGCAGATACCCATGAAAAGCATTTTACCTTAAACCTGTTACTAAGAATACAACAATTATTAGTAAAGTTCAGAAGCTTAGATAACTGACATCTAAGCAGAGAGGATATTCTCCATTTACTTCATGATTTTGTCAAGAACTGGCCAAAAGCTACTTCTAAAATTAATGGGATAACACAGAAACTATGATGCTTAAACTTAATTTTAACCAATCTGCCCATTCTATAATTTATATAATATTGGAAGTGTTCATTAATAGTAGTCATATACTTCATATATAGCAATATATTATCTATTATAGTTCAAATTCTTTCTAGACACAGTAAAAGAAAAACAAACACTTCGATGAGTAACATGGAAATCCTTGCATAACTCTATAAAGATAACTAGACAACTCAGTTTTATTTTTTAATGAATTAAAGTCTTAGATTTTTTTTTTTTAGATAAAGCATAGTATTTTTCTCCCTCTTCTGAAGTGACACAACTGTAATCTTTAGGGAGACATTTATGCCAGGGACATTCTAGCATATTACTATTTGGATATGGTTGACTTCTTTTTGAATACAGAGCTATACCTGAGGGACTAATAGCTAAAGAAAGGGAAAACTATACAGCTGATGTTTGATTGCAACGTGAGCATGATTGTGTAGAAACTTAGGAAAAGTTAAATGAAGAAAAGCTCATTCATGTTTTTCAGTTTTGGAAGATGAATATAACTGGGTTGTGTTTATAAAGTCACACTAGAGGTATAATAAGCAGCATTAATCACCATTTCATACTGGGAAAAGGTAAGGTATGTCTTGATAGATTTTGAGAGATGTATTCAATGTTGTATGCAAATAACATAAATGTTAATGCAGTCAAAACACAAGAGACAAGAAGGTTCTTGTTTGGCAAGAAAAAAAAAGAGGAACTATAAAAATCCATCTTTCCTTACTTAAGATTAATTCCTTAACATTTGATCAGGATTCCTAGTAAAAATGTGCTACTTATATTACAAAAGACATCCTAACATTAGGGAATTTATTTACCCAGACAACTTTCTTTAAAGGTCTAAAATGAAGCTCTAAGATGAAATTCAACTTGATTGCTCTCATGTTTTAACTTCTTTCCTATTTTTCCATGTCCTTCTTGAGGTACTCTTACATCATGAGTGAACTGTTCAGTCTTTCCAATATCTCCAGTTATCTCTGAAGCAAGTGCACTTTTCCTATTAATAAGCATAATGAAGATACATAGAATGATCTTCTGAGTTGCATTCAGATATTCCTGGTAAAAATGTGTGTTTTGTTGACCTGGTTTATAGAAAGTTACAACTGTTCTGGAAAAGGATGGAAAGATGGACAACAGCCTGACAATAAAGGACACAGACTAAATAATGCATTTATTGGAAACTTTGGATTAGTTTTAAAATAATCATCAAAGTAGCCTGTGAAAAAATAAGATAAATTGATCTGTGTTTCTATTCTAAGTAGCGAAGCGGGATAATCTTCATGGTGAGAATGGCATTTTGGAGACATTGAAAGAAGACTGGGTCACTGCCAACAAGAGAAACTGTCACATGAAGCTGAGAGGTTTGACTATGAAATAACAGTCTTTTGGAAGGCCATGGTTTGTATACTGTCCCATTTAATGTATTTAGTACTATTCCTCATTGAGTTTGCTTACAAATGACTGCCAAGTGACTACAAACATTGATTGACTCAATGATTGTAACTGATTGTTTCTTCTTAAGAAGTAGTTTATTAAAAATCTTTATTTAATAGACAAGCCAAACAATATTGCATCTGTACTTATTATATTCACTTTTTCTTTATTTGTTCACTCAAGTGTTACACAATACTTAATAAGACATACATGGGTTCTGTCCTTATCGAAATTACTTCCAATATGAGAAATAGATGAAAAAAAGTAAGCTAATAAATAAAGTAACTACAAATCATGACCAAAGAATGTTATGAAGAAAAAAATCAGTGAGCTATGAAGAAGAATAACATAACTTTTCACATTTGAGGAAGAAGTTGATATTTAATGAGGCTTGAAGGAAGAGAAGGAGCAGCCAAGTGAAGACAGGGGAAGATCCTTCCAGCAGAGTAGGGCACACAAAAGTGCCATGAGGAGGACAGAGGACTTGGTACATTTAGACACTCAGAGAACCTCTTTGTGGCTGTTACACAGCCGACAAAAGGAGACTTAGGAAATGAACGTAGAGAACAGTCTTGGAAAGTTGAAGAATGTTTGTGGAAGAATTTAGTTCAAGCAGTCCACTGTCAGGTGAACAAGTAAAACATTTTCTAGGGGTAAGAACCAATATCTAACCAGGTGAACCAAATCTGCCAGCTTAAATGTTTAATTGAACATGTGGAGCTCTTATTCCGCATAGTCTGTCAAAGCCATGATGTGCCAGCATGATGAAGGGGAGGAAAGTCTAGAATCAATTGTTGAATTAACCAATGGACAGACATAGAGGCCGAGTTGAATAAGACAAAGTTCCTGACTTTGAGGCATGCACCATTTTGTGTAGAAGAAAAACTATTAAAAATTAGATGACAGCCATTACACAAGAAGGTAAAGAAAATGTTATGGCAATAAAGAGGAAGGAGATACTAAGTGCCTGCTGAGGTGCAAGATTCACTCATTCACTGCCTGCAGCAAGTCTTGAAGGTTGGGTATGGGTTCAATGAACAGAAAACATTTCTAAATATAGTGTGTACCTTGGAAAAGCAGAGGAGAGTGTCAGCAAGCAGCTTGACTTGACTGGACTGCCAGTAGGTAAGGGGTTGGAGAAAAATAAATAGGAAGGAGAACATAGTAGTTTTTATTGCACTTTCACAAATTTTCTTGTGAACAATGGGAAACCTGGGGAGAGCTACACTAGAAGTTAGAAGACCTATACTGATTTCATCAGTTAACAACCGACAGAACTTTGGCAATAATGCAGTAATATTTTATATTTATAGTAAATAATGAATTAATATGTGTTGGTGACTGTGTAAGGATATTCATGTGCACTCTCTTATTTTATCTCCTTATGTGGCAAGAACCATAATAAAGGCTTTAATGCTCAGATAGCTTAAGGTACTTTTCCAAGGTCATATTCATAATACATGGATTGTAACGTCTGATCAACCATTTCACAGAAGTTAGGACCACGTAAGATGATGAACTAACTATTACAGCCTATAAATTTCTATCTAAATTCTTGTTGCAACTTAGAAACAGGGTAGAAATTTTCAGGGTAGGAACTAAAAGGATTAGATCTTTGCTCTACCATAAGAGTCCATAATGAAAGCAAAGTCATTAGCGCTAACTTTTATTTACTCTGTAGAGTCTATTGCAGAAACATGAATAATAATTGCAAGTGAATGCAGTTTGACATGTTTATATTAAAATATTGCATTTAAGAACATGTTTTGTTTTGATTTTCATGAGGAACCAGAGCTTGAAGTATTTGATTACCTCTTTATCTGAAGCCCACTGGGCCACCCACAACTGTGATCTATCAATGATCAATTGATAATAACAAAGGTGATGAGTTAAGATAGCAGGAAATAAAATGGCAATTATTTGTCATAATTTCAGTTCCATTGTTCTAAACTTTAAGGTTGCAGAAACAGTTATTTCTATGAAGGTTAACAAATTAAACAAACAAATTCCTTTATATCACATATTTCAAGTAGTTTTCCTACAAAAACAAATCTATATAACCAGGTCATTTAAACATGAATCCTGGTAAGATGTGGTTTATAGCATATTCATATGGGGCAGGCAAAAGTGTAGCAGACTACTGGTTAATTCCTTGGTATTAACCAGGATCTGAGTGCATAGGGTAAGGTTGGCCTGGGATAGAGATGCTCTGTGTGAATGTATAGGGAATAAGTTTGGGTTTGCAGTTCCTCTCTGACAAGATACCAAAGAGCTGAATTACATCTGTTCAGGAATGTTGGGATAATATTATTTTTGTACTTTGTTCTGTGTGTTCATGGGAATAATAAGAAGCAATTACGCTAAATAAGTGAATCTAGGAAAGGCAGTTGAAACTTACGAGAACTAAGTGATACAAGTGGAGGATGGAAGAAAGAAGCTTCCATCTGCCATTGGGAGAACTGATAAAATGTCTCAAATGTTTTCAGGTTGGCAACTGCTGAGATGTACTTTGCCAAGCATTTTTCCTCATAACCTGTAACCTCATGTATATTTTAATAAGAAATCTGAGATGCATGTTTCTAATTCATTTACACTTAACTCATTAAAATTTAGTTTTGTAATAACTATCCCAGGCTTCCCAAGCCTTTAAAAATTATTTGAGTCTTTTATCTTTGAAGCAGAAAATTCACATTTTATCACTAATAATGAAACTCTGCCCAGAAAATAGGAATTTGATTTGAAACTTTGTACTCAGGAAGTTCAAATTTATTTGAAAGTCAGGAAACCTAACTCTCAAAGTCCAACACTAAACAAAATGTCTCTCAACACCACTTTTCTAAGGTAAAAAGTACAGCAAAATGAAAAGATATATCTGTGGATATCTTTCATTTGTTTTCAATGTATGCATTTTAATCAGAGGTATTCAAAAGAACTTGCACAGAAAACAGGACTGACTCTTTCATTACTGAGGCTGAGGCTGAATTAAATTGATCTGTGCCACTGTTATCAGTGAGATA